TCTGAGGGCCTCAGAGCGCATGCGGTCGCACCGGTGTTTCACCCACCAGCCTTCGCCTGTCCGTCCAGAAATTGCCCTCGATCAGCTGACAGCACTGAGGCCGGACACACTCGTGACTTTAATGCTCAGCGGAAGCTAGACACATTCAGGCTGGAAATGAGGAGTCCATGTCCAACAAGGAGGGCAACAACTCCCCAAGGGCCGCAGCGGATTCCCCCACTGGCAAGCTGGGGTGGGTTTCTAAAAAATCTGCTCTCGTGCAAACAGGCATCGCTTCAGGGAAGCGTTCAGCCTTTGTCTTGATCCCCGGGCCCCTTTCTGAGCCTGCAATCGACGAAGCCACTGCTGGACAGCGCTGCCGAGAGCTAGGTAGGATTCTTACGCGACTCTTTGGTTAAAGGGGCATCGGACGCTCCAGAGGAATTCGGATGGGTTCAGCGTTATCCCCCGTATATTACCTTTGGGTACAGAGTCATGCCTGGAACGGCTTGGCTATGGAGTATTGAATTGAATTGCCGTTCTTGGCTAGATCAGTCGCTTGTCTCCCGTCCTCAATCCCACTTGAGAATCGTTTGCTTGACTTTAGAAACGAGATCCAATACTTCCATGGACAGCCCAGCTCCTTTGGGGATAAATGAAGGTCTCTATTTCAGGCTCCATGTCGATACCGAATTCCCCCAGCAGAAGGAGTAGAGAGGGAGGAGAAATGTTTGCTGTGTAGTGAGATTGGGACGAGATCTTCAGTTGCGTGGGCTGAGCTCTCCGAAATTGTAGCATCGCCCGTTGAGTTCAGTTTCTGCTGCTCATCTAACCATCTTTCCTTTGCTTTCTGCAAACTCGCGCCTGCTTTCAAAGTTATTTTTGGCTGATAAAACATCGATATGTGCTCATGCTCCAACATGCTCCAGCATGCTCCGGTGCTGTAAGGATCACAGATCCAAAGAACAGCGAGAAACCAGTTAGAGGGAACTGGCTCATTAAATTATTTAACAAATGTGTGTTTGATAACTTACCTTGCTCACACTGCACCCTAACCCACTAGACCCCACTCCCCTCCCAGAGCCACAAAAAGAACTGGAAGTCTCTGTTCTAACCACTAGGCCCCACTGCCCACCCAGAGCAGGGGAGAGAACCCAGGAGTCCTGACTCCCAGTCCCCTCCCTGCTCTAATGACTAGACCCTCCCAGAGCCAAGCACAGGGACAGAACCCAGGTGTCCTGACTCCCAGCCTCCCTGCTCTAACCACTAGACTCCCCTCCCCTCCCAGCTCATATATGGCAAGGTCTTCTGCTGGGCAATTCAATGAGCAGCCCTGGTGAATTGTGTTGGCTGTGACACACCATGACAGGTTCCCTGAGGTGCAACCCGGAACTGGGGTACTACAGAGCCCTCTGGTTTACCAGTCTGGGCTCCCTCTCACACTGGGATACTGTGACAAGCTGCAAACCCCTCCAGGTCCTGCACTTACACAGCCATCCCCAGGCCGGGACACACCCAGCTGAGTGACATGAACACTTCTCCTAGCCAGTCATGAACCAACAATAGAGAGCTCCAGCCAATCCCCCCCGTTCCCCAGGCTAGGACCCAGGGCTGTATTGTCCTGCTCTGGTCAGAAGCCTGCCAGTGTACGTATATTACCCAGTCCTCCACTTCTACAAAGGAAAGTGGACGTGCACCAGCTCTTCTTCCGGAGCAGATTCCCCAGGCACCTCGAGCAATGCACCGTTTTAGGTAAAACGTAAAACAGATCTATTAACTACAGACCGATTGTAAGTGATTATAAGCCAGGGCCGGCTCCAGGCACCAGCGTAGCAAGCTGGTGCTTGGGGCGGCACATGGAAGGGGCGGCACGTCCGGCTCTTCGGTGGCAATTCGGCGGCGGGTCCCTCGGTCCCTCTCAGCGGGAAGGACCTGCCGCCGAATTGCCGCTGAAGAACGAAGCGGCGGCAGTAGAGTCGCGGCGGAAGTGCGGCAGATCGCGATCGCGGCTTGTTTTTTTGGCTGCTTGGGGCGGCAAAAACCCTG